TCGCCCTCCCTCTCTCGCCCACCCACCGCCTCTCCCCCCTCCCCCCCCCCCCCCCACCCACACCACACACCACCACTCAACCATGTCCTTACCCCCCTCCCTCGACTCTGCACTAGCCTCCCTGGCTGCCACTCCACCGCCGACACCAACTGTGTGGGCAGCGGCGGCGGCAGAGCTGCTGGAAGGCGAAGGCAACGGGTCTGCCCTGGCTGTGCTCCTCACGGCCTTGCTCCGTGGCGGAAGGACCACACCGGCGCGTGATGTGCTGTTCCGCATCTTGCGCAAGCCGCCGGCTTCTCTCCTTCGACTGATGGACAAGGATCGGCTGGACGAGCTCTACCGCTGGGCGCTGGTCGCTGCTGACGACGGTGCCGCCGATGCTGCTGCACTCATCGCTCACCACTCAAAGGCTCCACCCGGCCTCGCACCGGCCTCGGTCGAGTATGGTGCGCGTTGGGCTTCGATTGAGGGTCTCGTTGCTCACGATCCATGGCTGGTTACCGTCCTCGGCCGCCCACACGGTTGGCTGGCGGCGGTCGTGACTGACGCCGCCATCGTCGTCGGCGCGCCTGCTGGCGTCGACGCTCTGCTTGGCAGCGGCGGCTGCGTGGTTGTGCCGTCGCAGGCTGAGAGCCCGCCCGCCTGGGTGGTCCTTGCCCACGCTTCCGAGCTCGATGCTGTCTCTGCAGTACGCGCTTCCGCCGTTGCCGCCTTTGTGGCGGCAGCCTACCTCGCTGTCTCTGGTGCTACTGTTGACGTTGCAGTCCTTCCATCGTCAAGCGTTGCTGACTACTTGGCCGCGCAAGCCGCGCTGCGGAGCGACGCTGCGCCACCGCTGAACGCTCTCATTGCTGCCACCCAGCCGCATTGTGTGTGTGGCTCGGCATCTGGGTTCGCGGCTCTCCTTGAATCGCTCTCGTTTGATGCCGTGCTTGGCGGCGAGGGCGCGGCAGCAGCGGCAGCTCGTCGCGCACTCTGCGTGCCGCGAATCGCCACAGCAGCCGATCTCGAACACGTTCTTACTTGGCTGGCGGTTTTTCACGGCATGAAGCCAGAGTCAAAGATCGAACTCGGCCCCGCCTCCTGCAGAGCCGGCTACCTGCCGCGACTCGTGGCTGCTGCGTGGGATGGCGACGCTGACGCGGCGGCGGCTCTATTTGGCGAGACCCTCGCCAACGCGCTCGCAGGAGCCGAACACCCAGTCGAGGCTGTTAAGAGCCTCGAGCCGACGCTACACACGGCAGTCACTCGCCGATTGCTCGATACGGTGTCTGAGACCATCAGCCCGTTTCGGCCGTCGTCGATGTCGACGCAGCCGCGAACGTTTGTCTCGCTCACCTGCGACCTCGGGCTTCGCCGACTGCGCGACGACGTGCCGCGCGGCGGGATCATGGCGAACTTGGGCCTGGCCACCCTCACTTGGGTCGGACCGCTCGACCCGCAGTCGGCTGCCGAGATGTTTGGCGCGCTCCTCGTTCCGCAGTATGTCGGCCAAGCGTTACTTGGCCGCACAGCTTGTTCAGCGTGGTTTGACCTGGTTGCCACCGGGAGTGGCGCGCTGTACCTTGCGGTGTACGAGGTGCAGACTGGAGCATCGCCGCTCGGCAACCTGGTGGCGGAGTTGGTGACTCGCCGGCCGCTGGCTGCCCTCGTATCAGCGCCGCTTGCCCTGCTGCCCGGCTCGGGCCTGGTCTCACCTGCGCTGCTTGCGTTAGCTGGCAGCGGGCTGGCCGACACGTCGCCCGAACCGATTGCGGTCGGGCTAGAGGCGCTTGCCAGCCTTGACCCATTGCATGTTGCCGACGTGGTTGTCTCGCGACTGCAGGCTGTCGGCCACGAGGTTCGCTCCGGACCGTGGGCCGGCTGGGCTCTCGAGCACAGCCTCGCGAGTACTTTGCCGTCAGCCTGGCTCTCACATCTCGTGATGCGACTGGCACGAGTGAAGTACGCGTCAGCCAGCATTCTTGCTCGATGTGGCGCCGATGTCGACATTGATACTGCTGCCCACGCGCTGGTCAACGTGCTTGTTCCGCCGCGAGCCATTGCCGCCTACGACGCACTGTGCGCCGGCGGGAGTGCGCTGGGCACTCCCGCCGCCCACGCGCTGCTCGCCCGATTTGGGACGTCTGCCCTCCGCTCCACCAGCAGTACCGACTCCGAGCCGCTTGCGCTCATCCGGGCTGAGCTCGAGCCTCTGGCTGCCATCGAGGCCGACGCGTTGGCGGCGAGCCTCGACCTGCTTGCTCATGCTCCGGCACCGGAGGAGGATGCTCTGGCCAAGCAGCTGCTGCGCGGCGCACCGTCGCCGCTGCTGGCAGCGGCGCTGGGCGACGGCACGTTTTCGCCGGTGGCGCACCTCGTTGGCAAGGCCGGCTTGGCCAAGACGCTGGCCTCTATTCACGCCAAGACCACGCTTGCTCGACTTGCGCTCACCGATCTGTGCTGGCTCGACGGTGGGGTGCTTGGAAAGGCCCTCAAGTGTGTGCCCACGCTTAGACATCTCGAGCTGGCGCGGTGCCACGCGCTCGTCCAACTGCCATTGCTCGACAAGACCGTGCCGCAGCTCTACGAGCTCACCATTTCTGACTGCAGCAGTTTCGTCTCGCTCGAGCCGGCCAAGCGGAGCGGCTCGCTGCTGGCCAAAGTCAAGGGCCGCGCCAGCTCTGCATTGTTTGAGCACCCGATGCTGGCGCGACTGGTACTTGAAGATCTGCCTGCGCTTGCCTCGCTCCAGTTTGCGCTGCCTGCGCTCACCTACCTGCGGCTGGCCAACGTGGAGCGGGTAGTCGGCAATGGCGCCGACGGCTCGGTCTTTGTCTCGTTTTCAACCGACCCGCTCGTGGTTGATGTAGCTGGCTCGGCAACACTCACCGATGCCCAGCTAGCGTCGTTCCTAGGCGCGTTGCATGCGTCGCAGCCACGACGAGCCGATGGTGTCGGCACACAGGTTGTGGCTGGTCCGGGATCTTCGCGGCTCACACCGCTGGTGGCCCACTTTCCGCACCTGCTACAGTGCTCAGAGCTTGGCGAGCGCTCGCTGGCACCGGCGCCACACATTGACGTCGGTACCTGGATCGATGAACTACCGGACAGCAGTACACTGAGTGCTGCCGGCGTCAACCTTCCGCCGCTGCTGCGGCTCGCGCTCGCCGGCGCCGACTCGGAAGGCGCTCTTGTCGCTGCTGCCGTCAATCGTACAGGCTGCGGCCTGTCCGAGCTACAGCTGGCAGAGGCAAATGCCACCGATGCTGCCTGGGGCGAGGCTGTCCTCGCTGCGCCCGGCTGGTCGGCACTGACGTCGCTCACGCTCTCAAACAGCGCGCTTGATGTCAGCCTCTTGTCCCAGCTTGTGCCACAGCTGAGCGCGCTCCACTCTCTCGCGCTCGTCGCCTGCACAGTCACGAATGGGAACGAGGCTGCGCTGGGCGATGTGCTCGGCGGCGATAGACTTCCCAACCTCACGCTGCTCAACACGTCGGGCACACCGCTTGGAGCGCTGCCGCCGCCGTCGTCCTGGCCTCAGCTGACCGCGCTCAACATTGCAGCAAATGGGCTCGACGACGGGGCCGGCCCAACGCTCGCGGCATTTGTTGCCTCCCATCCGCAACTCACCTCCATCAATCTCGCGCATAACTTGCTTCTTGGCTCCGGCGTTGCCGTCATCGCCTCCGCCATCGTTCCGCCAACAGGTGCCACGCTCACGCTCAACATCGGTGGCGTCGGCCTCGGGCCGCAGCACATCCCGCCACTCTGCGACACCCTTGCTTCTGCCTGCACAGCTGCCGGCGCGAACACCACCATCGACGTTGTTCTAGCCGGCAACGACGTCGACGACGACGTCATCCATGTTGTGGCCTCGGTTTGACTCTGGGCCTGCGGTTGCGCCCGCCTCGCCACTCGGCATTCGGTACCCGTCTCTCGCCATGGAGCGCCTGTTCAACCTCCTTGCAACGGCATGGGCCGAGCAGTGCGGCGAGGCCCGCACGGCGGAACTTACCCGGCTTCTTGAGCAGCACTCAGAGGAGGGCATTGACCCCAACACAGGTAACACCCTCCTGCACCATGGTATCCTCACAGGCAATGTACGTCCCTCTGCATGCCCCCGCACCCTCCCCCCTGTTGGTGTGGCGTGTCAGCCATTCGTTCGCTTCCAAGCCACCGCCACCAAGCCACACACGCGACAGAGGACCACACCAACTACGACAGTTCCATCCCCCTGCAATCCTCCTCCCCCTCTTCCCTCCCCCCCCTCCCTCCCCCCCCCTTCCCCTCATTTCCACCATATCTCTCG